TGTCTGATCAGTTTGTATGAGCCAAACATCAAGATTAGGTAAGTCATCGTGTGTATTTATACAGCTACTTCTGCATAATGTCTTATCTTACAGATTTCAATTTTCCTCCACTAGAACTAAGCCATTTCAGTTCAGAAAACTTCAAATTGTTATTTGAGACTATTTTTAAACCTACTGCATTTGCTACTATTATCTTTCCCCCTCTTTCTAGATGTCTATTTTTAAGGCCCTCCTTTTTTTTATGTTGGCACCTGATTCTACATTTTCTCCTGGAAAGTCCTACCTAGGCCTACATTGCATATATGTCTTTTAATTAAGACATTTCTTGATACACTTATCCCATAAAATTCTGTCTGCCTAGTACATTAACACATGTATTGTGATCTAAGTATATCATAATGTTTTAACTTTCTCCTTGATAAGTAAATTGTTTGCATAGTGAGAAGTGTTTATGACACTGTAATTTCCAACACAGGACCTGGCAATTTAGAGTCTTGTTGGGTAAACAGGTAAATGAAACTAGGCTACGTAGTAGATATTAGAAACCTACAGTGTTACAGAATGTATCTTGGTTTACTTTAAATTTATAATTTCTAAGATCTGACATGATTTTGAACTGACTTTTGTATCTGTTAGAAAATGTATGTCACTGAATGTCAGCATGTTATAGATCTTAGATCCCAAATAGCAAGAGTACCTGGCTTTGACAGAGTTAAAAATAACTGTAACTGATGCTCTAAAAGAGAAAGTTCCCAGGAAAGGTGATCTAAATGATCAAGGAGATTGAGATTCTTAAAATCTGCATGATGGAATAGAAGTATTAGACTCCAGTCTATAAAGTCAAATGCTGATGAATGAGAAAGAAGATCAAAGTTCACACAGCCTCAAAAATTGAAAAGGATTAACAGGGAGATTTATTCAAACTCAGAATTATGGGGCTCCTACCAAACTTACAAATCATATTTCCAATGAATTATGAGGAAAAGTTTATAGTACATTCTAGCTTATAAAATCACAGATTTTAGATAAGTTTAGAGATGAAAGACTCATAAGGGGCTAGGTACTGTTAGTGGGTGGGTGATGCCTTCCTTCAGGCTTTCTTTACTGATGATTTCCTCAGAGTACTTTCTCTCACTTCAATACTGCTCTTTTCTGTTTCCTTTTCAAAAGAATCATATCAGATGCTATTGTATGATGTTAGCTTGGGTCCAATGTGATATTCCTTATAATTTATGTTAATTAGTGCTCACCAATCAATATGTGCTAACCATCAAATAAGCACATATGGCTGAAAATTTTTCACAGCTTATGATAACTTAGGAAACCATTGATTCTGAAGAGCAGTGATTTTATAGAATTTTAAGGCATTTAGGTGGTTTTCTTGGTGTAGGAAGAGCTATTATGCTGTATGTGTAATTTTCTACAATTTTACCACTTAAACTAGATGTATCTGAAAATGGCTTTTATATTCAATGGGCTATGAAATAAATTGTCTTTTCTAGATAGTACTACAAAATAATGTAAAGGTCACTGCCATGTTTTAGAATTTTAACGATGTTCATTGTGCTATAAATACCATGGTCAGCATTTTTATTCTATGAAATCTGTGTTATATAAATTAGATTTTAAGATATAGGGTGTGTGGTAGAGAAATTATATTGAAAACATGTGTACCCATCACATTGCTATAGCTCTCTTTAATTAAGATCTTTATTAGAAGTTCCTTTTAAAGCTAACACTAATATGTCTTAGTTATTGAAATTTGACCTTGAATGTTTGGAGTTTATGGGATAAGCAAATCATGTGGAAGTGTTCATGGAAATTTGGATAATCTTATCTGTTTTATACTGTTCCCAAATACTGTAGAAACTCCTTTTAAGAATAATCCTTTCATATTATTCTTGATATAGTTCCTTTTTTGTATATCACACTGGCTATTTTTTTTAATCATAGGTACAGAGAAAGTCATTGTTGACAAGGTGTCACAGCAACAACAACATCTTGCTGACCAGCCCAGCTGGGTTTTGACAGCTTCTCTGAAAAAGGACACAATGTGATCAAGATACCAACACTGAGGAATACAGAAAAAAAAAAAAGAAGTGATAAAAGGCTCACTTAAGACACAATAAATTATTCCAGAGCCTTATCCAGATTCCACCTTTAAAATCTATTTTTTAAGCTTTTCCAAACACTATTTTATTAGTTGATCCATTCATCACTATTACAGGATGACCACGAAGTGGTTCCTGACTTTAAGGGATTTATGGCCTATTAAGGGAGACAGACAAGTGTGCACAAACTTTCAATGCAAACATTAGACCAAAAGGAAACAAAAATATTTTCCTTATGGGAAAGAATGATGAACCTTGTTGGACAAAGAGGGGAGAATTCATAAAGGGTTGGAATTTTGAAATGGCAGAGTCAGTGGCTAGGTGGAAAATATTCATGAGAGAAATAAGTGCATTGCTCAAATCACTTGATAAGTTGTGTTTTTCATTTGCTAAGTCAAGAATGTATTGGTTCACTAAATGAGTGCTTAATGAATACCAAGTGCTGAGGTAATATTCTATTAGATACTGGGTATGCAGTAGCAGACAAAATGAACTTGATCTGTGCCTTTGTAAAGCAAATTGCAACTTGGTGAAGAGACAGTAGACACTAAACATGCTATCAACATACTGTTTCAACTTGAAAGAGGTGCTACTGAGGTATAAAGAAAGGATGAAAGTGGAAAATAGGTAAAAGGAGGTCTACTTCAAGATGACCAGGTATCTGTTTGAAAGATGGATATTGTTTTTTAGACTTGAAATATGAAGTCCCAGGGAAGGGAAGAAGAGGTTGAGAGAAAATGAAGTGTTCAAAAGAGTAGCATGTACAAAAGGCCTCAAAGGGGTAGAGGGTTAGTGTTTGAGAAACTGAAAGAACGGAGGGTAACAAGGAAAATGGCATGAACTGAGAGGTTGGAAAGGCTCAGGGAGACCCAGATCAATGAGGGAGCTTTTCAATTGCAGGAAGACATTGGCTGCTATTTGAACAATGATAGGAAGTCATGAAAGAATTAAATAGAAATGTAAGGCAATCTGATTTATTACTCTGCCAGCCATTTCCAAAGCCATAGGAAACTTGCCAGGGGCTTTGATAGTAATCTAGGAGAGAAATGGTGGTGGTTTAGACTAGGGAGATTGCAGTTGAGATAGAAGTTTACAGAGTCAAGACATAATCACCAGGATTGGCCAGAAAGACAGCAGGTTAGGTACTGAGCATAAAGATGTCAAATGATTCAGTTCCATATCATAAACCCCTGGAAGATTTCTCTGCCCTCAGCAGGTTGGGACAGTTGGCCCCTCTATAGGGCTCTGATAATATCCAGTGGGCTTCAAATATTATTTGTTTCACTGTGCAATATAATTACCTGCCCATGTTTTTGTTTTCCCAATAGATAGTGTGTAACTTGAGAGCACTGACTATTATTCATCATTGTCATCTCTCACTCATAGACCTAAAATGATAATTTGCTGAATGAATGTGTGTAGATGGAATTTGGTGATATCATTTGGCTTCCTGAGAAATTAGCATTAGGTAGAAATAATGGAGTGAGCAGAATTAAACAATAATGGTTTAAAGAACAAGTCAGTAAACTAATACGTGTATTAATCTGTGAATAGTATAAAATTACTTGAACTGATAATTTTTCAATTGTTTAATATGCCAAACAAATCTATTTCTCTTTAAATGTATTCAAGAGTGTTAGAATCACATAATAATTTTATTGAAATCAGATTGCCTCTAATCTAAAAATGTTAAATAATTTGATTTTAGGGGTTTAAATTTGATTTGAATTTAGGGCTTTACTCAAATCAATTTTCAGTTCATGGGTAATTTGGAGTAGGAAATATTAGGGAGGCAGAAGACCTGGTTTGTATTCATCCTTCTCCTTAACTAGTAGATCACTATCTCTTTTTTGTGTGTCTCCTTTAAATTTCTCATATCCTAAGAGACTCTCTAGTATGGCTCGCCATGTAGATATGTGTTGAGAACTAGGGGGAAGCTGACTTCAAGTATGCTGGAGACCAGCTCCAGCTAGAAGTCGTGTCAGGGATCTCAGAAAGGAGAGGACGCTGTCGGTGAAATTTTTTCGGAGGCCTGAGGGGAAGTGGAGTGAGGTGGATGAGGTAGTGAGGAGACACTGACACTCTCTCCGGTGCAAGTATCTCCTACTGAGGGTCTCAGCAGGTCTTTATACCTTAAGGCAAGCGGTGAGATTACATCAGCATAAGCATCAAAGCAGAACAGAGACAATCATTACATATTTTCTCATGAACATATAAAGACCCTCTTGATCTCATACTACAAAAGGACACTTCTTTAGTCTGATTAAGAAAAACAACAGGGACAATTACTCTCCTTGGTACAACTCATTTTCTAACATAATCAATTGTCTAAGACAGTACAATGTTCAGTAACAATCAATCATCCTGTCAAGCCTTCCTAATTTTGGAGTGAACATGAAAGTCCATTGTTATGCTATATTACTAAAATCAACCCATTCTCTAGCACTTAATTAATCTAGCCTATTTATCAATTACTTCAAAGTGATCTAAAGTAGCTCATCAATACTGTTTAGTTCTACACAAATCTAACTTTTAACTAGAAATACCTAACCTCCACACAACCTGAGAACTGTTAACTTTTCTCATACGCCAGGAGATGTACTGTTGCTGCAAACAAGTACCCCCCAGGTTAGGCTATGGTTTCCAAGCACAGCTGGTTCAGGGCAGCTTGTTCTCCATAGGTCTCAGGGCCAAAACATTTCTTTCCTAACTATACCTTTAGCATTTTGTACTTTCTTTGATACTGATTCAAGTGTAAGAACAATAAATCAATTAATGTCTAGGTCCGAATTGGGTTTACACATGCCAATTAATAACTTACTTCAGCATTAACCAAGAACAAAGAGGAGAGCATTAGCAGGCGTTGCCATGGAGACTTCCTAGTTCAGATCTTGGGAAGTGCAAGAACTCCCCTCTTCTGGGAAGTTCAACTTCCCTCTTCTGGGGAGCACAGGAACGGCCCACTTCTCAGGAGTCTCCACCAATGCCTGGACCTTGTCAAGAGACAGCATGGGTAGCACAGCCTGCCACACAAGTACTTCACCATTTTCTTGGGCATGAACTTCAGACATTCCAGTAAGTTTGAACTGTTAAGTATAGTTTTTTCTATGGGGATTTTTGTGAAGACCTTGTGAAAAGAGCTCTCAATGTACCAGCAGGAGTGATGTATGTGGAGTGAAGTGAATATGAGGTAGATTTAGGGGGGGGAACAGGATCAGTCTTCAAGTATTTATAAGATATCAGGGAGAAACATGATTCAATTTTCTACTGTAAAAGTACATTAAAAACAACATAGGTGTGTGTATTAGAAATGTCCAATGTATACCACTAACTATATCCTCTATATCCTCTTCTAATGAAAATGTCTCCTTTTTGTGCCCTCTTTCCAAGGTCCCGTTTTATAACACATAGTCCTTCATCTCTGCTTTGTCTTCCTATGGAAAGGAAGAGAGCCAGAGATACCCAGAGAGAACAATCTCATGTGATTGGTCCCTGGAGCTTAGTGATTCAGTTCCTCAGCACTGTCTAGTTCCAGGTCTAGACTACATAAATTCCTAAAATAAACTCCCATCTCCTTGAGGCAGACTGAATTAGTCTTCATTCCTTGCCACCAAAAAAAGCAAAACTAAAAATAGTGTTGATCAGTTATGTATGAGAAAATGAAAACCCATTGTAAAAAAAGGATTAGGGAAAGAGAAATCTATTTCCATTTAGGTTCAATGATGGCTCTAAATTATTTTTCTTTCATGAGCGGATCATCTCCAATGATGAAAACTTTCTTTGAGTTCTCACTGCTGCTTTCAAGTGTTGTATAAAGTTCCAGGTTTTGCTCTAGATTTCTGGATGCTGAAAGTGGTGATGTACCAGAAACCCTCTGGGGAGCCTAATTGAAGTGTTGATTCCTGGGCCCATGCCCTGGAGATTTGACAGGAAATGTGGGGTACCCCTGGATACTTGTAATTTTAACAAGTTCCATACATGATTTTGACAGAGCCATGTTTCAAAGCCATTCCCATGATCTCAAGCAGCTTTGACTCATATTATTTTGAAATGCTATACTTCTCAGCTATCCCTCTGTTCTCTGCTCCTGAATTAAAAACAAAAAAAGATTTATTTTTCTTTCACTATCTACTCTAAAACCAATATCACAATAATATCTGAGTCTTCAAAATGGGTCTCATCTGGCTTTGCTTCCTATAGAAAAATAAATAATTGATTTATCATTTTAGAGAACTTAATTTGAAATTCTAGCAGCAGCAGCATGGCATCAGAATCCCAGGAGAAACTTTCCTTTCAGAAAATATTGAACATCAGAACCACATCTACTTTCCAACCCTCTGACTCTACCCCGGCTCACTCTACCTCCTCTCCAGGATGTAAAGAAATTTTAAGCAACGGGGTTATGTGGTGCTTGAAGCTCTTATATTAAAAGTGTTTGTCTTTCTGTCCCACCACTTTGGACATATTGAAACATATCTAAGCAGAGGACATTGCTAAATCATAGTACTATAGACACTGGAATTACTACAAATTCCTGATCTCTAGCTTAGGCTAAGTTCTTCTTATTTATTTTACTATTATTACTACTAGTTGTTGTTATTTTATCTTCTTTCTTTAAAGATTTATTAATTTATACAAGAACTGAGGTACAGGCCAGATGTGTGGGAGGGTGAGAGGATTCTCCAGAGACAGAGTAGGGAACAGAACAGGCAGACTGAAAAAATACACTGCTGAGGGGAGCAGCGGGCGAGACAGGAGAAGTCTGCTGTGCCATGTAGGTTGCTCCACAGCTGGCGGGGATCGAACCGGCACTGCAAAAGCTGCAGACAGCTTCACAGCGCTGCGCTCAACCACCTGCACCTTCAAGGAGGTCCTGTTTTTATTTTATCTTCTAATCATTTCTCCATTCTTCTCAATGACTGTTAACTAATGACATTATCGTCTGTGGTGACCAATACCTTGTTCACCCAAGACTGAGGGGCTCTAAGACATGGACTTTGATTACCTAAGCAAGACTATTCCCAGGAAAACTGGAATGACTTGGTCATCCTACTCATAGCAGGCATTTTCTTTGATTGCGTTTTCCTTATTTCCAACAAAGGTTTAATTTCTTATATCACAGAGAAAACATAGAGGTGATCAGATGAAAATTTTCTCAACTTCCTTCTCAGTCATCTAAATGTATCTGCTCAAGACCTGACACCCTTACTATGTCTCCTGCTATGTCTTGTACCTTTTTATAACTAGTAATCGTATCCCTTCAGCACAGCATTAGAAGGAAATTTGCCAAGTTTAAGCATGCATAAGAAAGTGTCCCTACTTGACTCTGAATTTGAGAAAGCCTTTCATCTAAACCTATACTTCTGTGGCATATAACAGAGTATGGCCAAAACCAAGGAAGTCCTTATAAAATGTTCTTATTCTTGAAATTCTTCCCAATTGAGAATAAATTCTCCATTCTATCCTTGCATGTGGTCTTATACTTTCAGTTTGAGAATCTAACAGAAATTCATTTCTTGAGTGGCAAGCATATAGACCCTGCCTTGGGATATGTGTGTGTGTGTGTGTGTGTGTGTGTGTGTGAGACAGCCTTTTATTCTTTAACAATATAAGCATGTTCAAGTATTTCCTGTTTTAAACATAAAACTCACTTTTCCTACTCTTTATGTTCCCTTGACCATCTCTTACCCTCTTTCTTTTCTTCCTACTTATTTAGTTTGAAAAAGAAGTGCTCTTTTGTTCTCTTCACTATCTCTGTGAATTGCAGTGTGTGTTTGTGTCTTTAGTGAACTCCCATAAACCTACTGTCTTGTGATCACTAATGGTATTGTTAAATTTTATAGAATATGTTTCATTCTATCCATGATTAAAAAATAGCTACAGTAGCTTATAAAGTATAACATAAAGCTACCCATAATCCTTCTATGCAGAAATAAAACAATTGTTCCCTTCTTTGTGACTTTTGTCATTATTTACAATTTTACAAATTCTATCTCCTTTTTAAAAATATGCTGATTCTAGTTAAAGCCCTATGAAACTTGCATGAAACTTGCATCTTCACATTGTTTGCTAAAGATTCATCTTTCACTCAAAATCCACTCAATGTTGATATTTCAGGTTTATATTCTATCTCATTTACAGTTCTGATTGAGTTCATTTTTCTCTAACCCTATATTTGTATATACGTCCTATGTTCAGAGGCTTCTCAAATATCTTTCTAGATAGCCAGATCCATGTGAATTTCCTACAGGTGCCACAGTCTCAGCAATGATTTGGTTATCTCTCAATATCTTCATCCCAAACATCTTATGTTGATGACACAACCATCACCAGTTACTTGGCTACCTTGGATTTTTTTCTGCTACACATTCAGCCAACTCTTTCTACTAAATATCCTTCACATTGCATAACTCCATCTTTTTCTCTTTGCCTGTGTTACTACTCTCTGGGAATAAGCTCTTAACCATTTAAAAGTGTGTTTGTGCAATAATATTCTTTTTTTTTTTTTTTAAATTTTTTTTTTTTTTTTTTATATAGAGGCATGTTTTCTTTCTTTCTTTCTTTATTTGTTTGTTTTTGTTCATACAAGCACTGGGTACAGTCAGAAGCGCGGGAGGGTGAGAGAATTCACCAGAGCCAGAGCGGAGAGCAGAGCAGGCAGAAGGACCGAAGTACACTGCTGAGGGGAGCAGCGGGCGGCAGGAGAGGTCTGCGCGCCATGTGGGACCCTCCTCCGGTAGCGGGGGAGCAGCCGAGGATCGAACCGGCGCCGCAGAGGCTGCGGGCAGCTTCGCAACCCAGCGCTCAACCGCTGCGCCACCGGGGAGGCCCAATATTCTTTTTTTTTTAAGATTTATTTATTTATTTATACAAGCACTGGGTACAGTCAGAAGCGCGGGAGGGTGAGAGAATTCACTAGAGCCAGAGCGGGGAGCAGAGCAGGCAGAAGGACAGAAGTACACTGCTGAGGGGAGCAGCGGGCGGCAGGAGAGGTCTGCGCGCCATGTGGGACCCTGGTCCAGGGACCGGCGCTGCAGAAGCTGCAGGCAGCTTTGCAATCCAGTGTTCAACCGCTGCGCCACCGGGGAGGCCCGTGAAATAATATTCTAAGGGAAGGCTTTGCCTCTAGGATTGGTTTTCTTCAATGAGTTCTCTACACTGCTGTCAAAGTAATCTTTCTAAAACATAAGTCTGAACATTGTGGTGAAGTCTGTCGTTTCTTGAATGAGACAGATCTGGATATATAAGCAATTCCAATAATTACTAGCTGTAGTATAGTGTAAGTTATTTAACTTTATAAAGCTCTATTTCCTCATTGAAAAATTAGGGTTATAGAACCTAGATCACTACATCGTTTTGCTAATTACATAAGTATCCTGTTTAGCATAAGTATTAGCAACAGGAACCTGTTTAGCATTAGTATAAGAATTATATAAGTAACCTGCCTGCCTTGCAAATAGATAGTGCTCAATATTTCGTTGTGACTATTTTCATGGTTCTTCTTATTGTTCTTATTCATTGTTGATGCATCTTTTAATTCTTCCTTACTGAATTTCCTTAGAGCTTCTCTATTGAGTTTAAGATAAAGCCTTAACCCTTTGGGTAATATAGTAAGTCTTTGATAATGGTGTCTTTGTTGGCCTCTTCAATCTCATTTCCTACTATTCCCTTTTCTACCCTAGCATCCAGTCACAGTGAATTATTTACAGTTTTTCCAAGAGAATTCTTTCTTTCTCTTCTTTTATGCAGTCTTTAATATTTATTGATTTCAGCTGTTTGCTTAGCTAAATACAATGCATTTTTCAAATTTAGTTCTGCTTAATCATTCCTAAGAACTTTTGTTCCCGCCATTCTTACCACAATCTGGATCAAGTGTCATGTTTGTTCCCTAATTTCCTATGTACACAAGACTCTATCTTTGCTGTATTTTTCAGTGTATTATAGTTCATATTATTTTTTATTTTTTTAAAGATTTATTTATTCATGCATACAAGAACCAGGGTACAGGCCAGATGTGTGGAAGGGTGAGAGGATTCACCAGAGACAGAGTGGGGAATAGAACAGGCAGACTGACT